GCCATAAATATATAAAAAAAAAAAATTAAAAAAAAATTTTTTTTTTATTTACAGGAATAAATGACTATATTATTTTTGTATATATGGGATATGATAACATTTAAAAGCAATTTGTGAAAATTTGGATGGAATTATATCAATATTTCTAAAGATTAAAGAATGGTGGAGATGTTGAATTAGTTGAAAATCAAAAAAAAGAGATTCAGTATTGGAGGAAAGGTTATTATTATAATTATTATGTAATTTGTTTATGCTGTAAACACAAAAAAAAAGCAATGATGAAAATGATTTTAAAAAATGATATTCCAAAAGAATTAATGATTTAACATTAATTATTACCAATTGTTCCTTCTGAATTATCTTTTATAATTTTAATTAAAATATAAGTTTACAACTACTTGTTTGTCATTGAAATAATTTATATCTATTTATATACTGATTTGGTTATTAGGATCAAGTAATTTCAAAAAAAAAAATATTGATTTTACCTGATGAATTAGATATTATCATATCATCCATCAAAGCATAAAATGCCTATTGGATCATTAATACAATCAGCAATTCTTGATGGTAATTATTATAATTTGTAGTTTTAAAAAAAAAACAAAAATTTTAATTGATATTTTCTACTTTTTGACCAGATATAGATTCAAATCTTTAAGATCTCTGAGAATTTTAATGAAATAATTCAAAATTTTTTATATTATATGAACTTTACTGATAAAAGGGGCCACTTGCTAAAGTATGGTTGGCTGCACATTGGGAAAGAAAACTTAGTAAAACGCAATTTTTACAAACAAATATACAAACATCAGTTGGTAAGCATATCCATAATTTATACTTTAGTTTAGGTGATGTTGTTTGATTATTCAAGTCTTTAAAACTGAACAATGATCCTATGTAACCAACTATAAAAAAAAATTTACAATATACTTTCAAATTTTATAAAGGGGCAATACTTGGTGGAGACCAACCTCCGATGGCTTTAAGATTATCAGGACAATTATTACTTGGTGTTGTTAGAATATATTCACGTAAAGCGAAATATTTGTTAGAAGATTGTACTGAAGCCCTTTTAAAAATAAAAATGGTATATGATTTATTATTATTATTATTATGTTATTGTTGATCTTTTAATGAATGAATATATATTACGTTTTTTTTGATTTATCGTTTTCTAATATACATCATTTTTTTAAAAAATTATCATCATCATCATCTTAACATTACATAATAAAAAGGCATTTAGACCTGGTGAAGTTGATATTCCAGAGGATCAACGAGTTGCGAATTTTGAATCTATCACATTACCCGAAAATATTACAGAGTTTGATATATTATTACCCGATCCACAATTAAATTTAAGGTATGCATATAAATATTTGGTATATGTGTAATTCATCCATCCATTCATATATATATGTTTGTGTGCGTGTATTTTAATAAAAAATAAATCCCATTTTTAAAGTCAATGGTCAGAAGTTATTACCACCGCAACAAGTTCCAATATATCAAGACCGCAAGATATTACTATTACAGATAATTTTGATATTACAATGGATTCAAATATTCCTGCGGTTGATTTATTAATAGGCTTGGTGGATGGTAAAGGACTCGATTTTGACTTTGATGATGAAATTGATCCAAAGTCGACAGACATTATTGATGAAGAAGTTGGCGGTAGTGGTGATGTTGCTAGCGAAGAAGGATCGGAGTCTCCAGAGAAAGCACGTGAGCGTCTTTCTGAACCTCCTATTGTTATAGATGAGTTGATTGAAAAGAGTCCTATAGGCGACGAACAATACCCAATGGAAGGAATAACGTAAAAGGCTATTCTTATTAATATACAAGTGTATGTTTATATGGATCTAAATTAAATTAAACTGTTTTATTTACAATATCCAATAACATATGAATAGTGAAAATTACATTGAGCCTCCTATATTTAGTCCAATATCTCAACAAAGTCTTGAAAGACAAGGTAAAAAAACTTTATTCTTTATATTTTCTGTAGCACACCACTTTCTGTGACAAATTATTGATTTTTTTTAAATTTAGATAACAATGTAGAAGAATTATTTCAGGATATCGAATTTACGCAACAAGAAGAACAACAGCCGCAACAAGAAGAACAGCAGCCGCAACAAGAAGAACAACAGCTGCAACAAGAAGAAGTACAGCAGCAAGAGCAACAACAGCAACAAAATGCACAAAAAACTACACAAGCTCGTAGAAAACGTAAATTAGTTTTGGATGAGGTAACAGAACTAACAAATAAACATATTTCAAATCAAATCAAAGATACTTCTGATATCTTGATAGAGGTATTTATCATTAAATTAT